AAATTTTCGAAAAATTTAAAAAATTATTTAAAAATTGAATTTAAAAATAAAACACAAAAGGTAAATTTTATTTGGAATGACCTAAATTCGAAATGTGAAGGAAAAATCAAAAAAGTTTAATATAAAGGAGATATTAATAATATTTGCCCAAAATCAATAACATTGAGAGCAAAATTATGAGAGCTAATATTTAAAAACACTCGAAGTTTTAAAAATTGGCTTCTGGCATAATTTAGTCGTAAATCGAATATGGAAAAAATTGGTAGTTATTCGAAAGTCCGATTTTGTTCAATACATACTTAGAAAAGTGCTAATATAATCTAATATATATCCTAAGTCGCGCTTTCGAGACATGAAAAACGCAATTTGAATTCTGTCAATCGGCCTGGTAGAACGGAAGATATAGAACTGTCCCCCCCTTTTTTTTAGCAGTATATATCTTTGCACACTTTACGGACTTACAGTGAAAAATAAAGGAGAACTCTGTAGCTCCATTCAAGTTTTTATTCTCGATATACTGATACTGAACGAGACCTAAAAACACTTTTCTTTTATAATATATCTCCTCTTATGATCCCTAACGCTTTTGTTTATTTTCCCCTTCGCAATTAACGCCAAAGTCCCCTTCCTCACCGCATTCGGGACGCCACCATCTATGGATATAAGTAGGCTTACCTACGAATATAAGATCATGCTTTTCTTGAAAACTCAGTCCCCCAAAACAGTGTTTCCCAACCTTTTATCACAGCGGACAGGTCTACGTTTGATAATTTTACCGCGGCCTGCTGGTGGTGGTGGTGGTGGGGGGCGTTGATTGTTTATATTTTAGATTATTTTGATTTATTAATTTTTATTTAATTGTATTTAAACATGCCTTCAAAATAAAATACACTTTCACCAAACACAGTTACATTCGTGTTTTATTTATGATATTTATAGTTATGATGATTGATTTTTTTTAACTAATTGAAAGAGAAAATAGTTACAGTGGTTTTCTTTTTCTTTTACTTTTTAAAACATTAAAAAAATTATGTCACTACCTTCGGGGGCCTTTTTTTTAAATACATAAAATTTTAATGAAACACAGATGTTTTTAATTTGGGGTATAAACCTAGGAATTTAAATTCAGTTTCAATGAAATGGGCTACCATTTGATCCACGGACACCGGTCAACGGATCGGGACTTGGGGGACTAATGCTCCAAAAGATAAAATAAGTATACCTAGAAGTGAGCAGGACACCAGAATTTCACTTATTGATCGAACAGGTATAGTCTTAACGCACTAACTGTACAGTTCCAGATACATAATCCAGAATGCAACATTGTGAAACTAACCACGGTGGTTAGAATAGAAGTAGAGAAGGTTCAACTCAAGCAGTGAATCTTGGCGGCCATGTTACTACTTCTGCTGTGACCTGTGCAAGGAAGTCTATCACTGCAACAATTTTCATTATGTAGTTCATTTAGTAAAGGCGGTTATAAAAAATTATTTCTGTGTAAAATATGTATATTGGGAGAAAAATAAAATAAACGCTGCTGAATCTGCTCGACAGATATACACAAAAACCATTTTATTCAAAGGTCAGTGGGGAAAAAAAAAAAAAAAAAAAAAAAAAAAAAAAAAAAAAAAAAATACTTTAATACATGTGATATATAGCTTATGGAAACAATTATGCCTCTGTTTTTGCATATATAAGCTGAAATAGTATATCCCATTAGATATAAAAGCAGAAAGGTATGTAAATTTATATCGTTTCATATTTATTTATTTCTGTGTAAAATGAACATCTCGAAACATGTTGAAATACTTGTGAATTTTGTATGTCCTAGAATTATTAAAAGGTAAGCCAAAATACTTGTCATATTTAACCATTTGCTTATTACATTTAAAAATTAAATTTTATATGTATGTAAGGTTCAGTAAATAACCTGTTATAAAAATACTTGATTGCTTATTTCCATAAATTATAAATATATATATAATGAATATCTCATTATACTTATGTACTGTTTTATAAAGAAGAAAGTGTTCTGAATGTTTCTAAATCAATGAAAGGAATTTGTTTCAGAATGCTATAAATTTACCGTGCATATATTCTTCTGTAAAAATAGAGTTTTTTCTGAAGATTTTTTTGATTTAAGCTTTTTATTATCTTGTATGTAAAATTATTAGGATATTTATTCCTTTTTTATAGTTTTCTTCTTAACTGTCTTTGAAACATCATTTTTTTCACTTAAATGGCCAAGGATATATTTGAACTATAATTGAATAAAATTTTTTATAAACATCTTTAGATACCTTTGTAATCCATTAAGAACAGCTATACTGCGGTATTGTGTCTACTGTAGAAATTTTAGTATAAATGGGCATGAATTTTTATCGCTGTTGCATTAATTCAATATCAGACTAAGACATTTTCCTATTATACGTAGAAATTTTCTGATCAGGAAAGCATTAGAAATCAGTTATAATAGAATTTAAATAAGCTTTTAATTTTTTTTAATGGAACTTAGAGATGCACTGAGCTGAGCAACCATCCCTTAAATAGCTGTCTCTTTTGACATGTATCATGCAAATCTATTTGCTGTTTATTTTTATCTATTTGTTTAGCATTTTAGATTTTCTGATTCCATGAAGTTATTTCATATAATGTAGCTGAATCAAAATTAACACTTTTCTCAAGTTTCCACAAAAACAATCCGCCCCCTAAAAAAACTTCTAAAAAGAGATAAAAGTTAAAATGTGTTTTTTAATTGAAATTAAGAATTATTTAGATTTTTAAAGTAGGCTAATAAATGCCTTAAAAAATTAAATGCTATTTGCATCAAGTACCGTCTCCTGAAATAAGCTATTTCAGCAACTGCTATAGCCAATAAAAATACGTGAATTTCCGCTTTAGTGTATTACAACCTAAAGCTGAAGTATTAAGCATACTAAAATAAAATAACCTTCTTTCCTATCGCTTAAATATTTGTAAATGATTTTTTAATAAATTATGATTATATTGTGAATAAATCAGAAATATCACTTCTCAAAGGAAAAATTGGAAAGTACACCCAAGAGCTTGCTAATAAACCCTAAACAAATTCTTGAAGTACGCAGAAACATAATTTTTAAAGGCTTTCTGTACACAGTAAATTATGGATATCATTTTTATTTTTATAAAACAAAAATTTAACCATACAATAGCGAGACAATTCATTATAAATTTAACACATTTTTACTGGAAAATATATGCACGGAACAGCTTCGAAACATGTACGTTTCACTGCCGTAATGCAATGTTTTGACATTACAAACATGGACGCCTCCTGTTAGGTAGCGTTTCATTCCCTGATAGTGGAGGAAACTGCGAACCTTGCCTCCTTTTATTCTAAAGTGCTTGCTTAATACACTATTCAACTAAGAGTTGTCAAATGTAAACAAATGGCGGTTTCGTTACGCTTAACAGCACTTAAACAACTTTTACATTGTTGATAGATAATTCGACAACTATGCAGAGTAACAAAAGGCATACAAACCTTAGCCCGAACATAAAAACCACGTAATTCAATCACTTTGAAATCAAAAAACACAAAATTTACCAACATATCAGAATAAAAAACCTAAGCTTAGCGAGCCGGGTAATAGAGTGGGTATATGCATACTCGCCATTTATATATAGGTATATGTTTGGTGCCTCCAATTGCAACCAAAAAGGGAGGTGCACAGATACTTGTTATATCACTTCTGTATAAAATATTTCAAGGTTCTACTCGTTTTTGAGCTATACGAGATACATAGATACGCACGTACGTATAGAAGTCGCGAAAAAATACCTTCTGAATTCATTTTTCACTCCATTTTGGGAAAAAGAGTCCTTTATTCTGTCCGTATGTACAGATGTTCACGCAAAAACATCGTTTAAATGCATTCTACAGCGGTCAAAATGGATATGTAGAGACATTAGGTACTTTTTGGAAGCATGAAAAATATGCAACGCCTTCGCCTGGAATCGTACCACGGACCTCTGAATTACGCGAGAAGCATGCAGACCACCACACCACGTAGGTTCGTTAAGAAGGCAGGATAAATACCTTAAACGTTTATTTCTGGACTTGCTTGAGAGGCAGTTAACCCTTCTGTCTTCTGTAGATCAGAAATGCCTAACATAGAATTGAATAATTTAATTCCTAATTTTGATCGATCCTGAAACAGCCGATGTGAGTTTGTTGAGATATTAGGTATTTTTGGAAAAAGGCAAGAAAAAAATATGCAACGCCTTCGCCGGGAATCAAACCACGAACCTCTGGAATACCGGTCCACTGTGCAGATCACCACACCACGAAGGCTCGTTAAGAAGGCGGGAGAAATACCTTATATACTCCCCCTTTTTAAAGGGTGACTGGGGTTTTTAGGGGACCCAATCGCCAAATCCTGGGTGATGAGAATCATCATCCAACACCCTTTTAGTTCGGGCGCCACTGTAGAGACATTAAGTAATTTTTTAAAGCAGGAAAGATGAAAAATATGCAACGCCTTTGCCGGGAATCGAACAATTACGTGCTGAGCGTGCAGACCACCACACCACGAAGGCATGCCAAGAAGGCGAGAGAAATTACTTATAGATATTTTCGTTGAAATATGATACCCGAAATTTTTCGCAATTAAAATGCTTCCTTTACTTCGTACAAGGAAGTAAAAATGAAAAGAAAAAAAAAAAAAAAAAATTATGAGGAACTATGTGCTGATTCGGGGGAGCTTTGAAATTTGCAATCTAAGCTATCATCAGATCCCACTGCATCACAAATAAATAGATTAAAATCGTAATTTATTAGGATATTAACTGATGCTATCAAAACTTAATCATCTTAAAAAACGATAATTTATGATCGAATAAGAAATAAATAAATAAAATTAACTAACTAAACATAAATGCATAAAAAGTTCTTAATGTTAATTAAACAGGAAGCATTATAACAAGATGGCTCCTAAGAAGCTATGATAGAAAAGTTTGAATTTATTTTTAAAAATATTTTATTATTATCAACACTGAATTCTAGTTAAATTTGCATTCAGTACACAAAAAAGTAAAGTGAAAAATTTCCTGGTGTAGAACTGAATGTACCACTTGAGATGAAATGCCTAAATAAAAACAGAAGTAAATGATTTCATTTTACGTACGACATTTCCTTACTTCTAGCAATTTAGACATAATTTTTTTATTTCATCCATATTACAATGAAGTTTTTCAAAATGATTTCCATTTAACTGAATGAATTTATCCGAATGAAAAAATAATTTTTTTAAAGCCATCCTCAGAGAATTTTTTCAGTCTCTCTTCTCCCTCTCTTTATGGCATGACTAACTCTCATATTGAACACTCCATAAATGTTTTTCCAAATGTGAGAGCAAAAGACTTTGCAGACGTTGAAAAATTTTTGAAGTTTCCACACCCTCTTTTCACAAAAATAAAATAACTGCTCTTTGCATCTTCCAAAGTTGCAGAAATAGTGTTACAAAAATGTGCCTGCATCAGTCAAGCAACTCAATCAGATTGAATAATATTGCATTGAACAGTTGCATAAACATGTCAAGACTTGTCTCTGGCCGATAACATTGCTTGTATGTTTGTTCTAGTATTGAACTTGAGTTTCTAAAACTTTGGAAACGACTCTCATATTCTTAGCCAGAACCACTGAAAATCAAGATATGGCTAGGAAACACACATAAATGAAGATTATTCAACACACGCACACTATAGAAAATTTACCTATTGTAACCTGTTCCTTCATATAAAATCTTGCACATTTTTTCCTTGCATGGTTTCCCAGAAGAATCAACATCAATGGGTACAGTTCTGAGCCGAGTAATGAACTCCTATTAAAAAAAAATAAAAAAAAATTACAATTACGTATCAGCTAGATTGTTTGAAAACAACATGCAGCATGGACAGTCACTTTGTTTACTTGGTTTAATATTTTCACAAATGATATATTGCATTAATGGGAATTGGTATTCAGAGTCTACGACAAGGTATAAGAATATTACATTCAGAACTTATAAGTTAATAACAACAGAAACATTGCTAGAGAAATCTCTACACTACTGTTGTTTACCTAATTCTAAAAAAATTAGAGAGCTTTTTCATATTATCTTTAGAGCTCAGTACTAATTCTACAATACACCACACATTTCTTCAATATCACTAAAACATCTTGGGGGCTTATAATTAGGATAATGATGTATGACGAACACCAATTTATTAATGAAGTAACACGCACAAAAGAAATAAAAGTGAGAAAGTTTTTTTAGTTACATTACTCGCGCGACCAGTTCCAAGTTCTAACTAAAGTTTGTTGTGTCACATCACCTATAAAAAGGAAAAAGAATAATTATATTTTGGTGAATCTCGCATCACGTGACATAGAGCACAAACTCCGTTTGAAGAATGACTCACGCCATCCGTTACAGTCTTTCCCTCAAGCCGTATAAATTGTCCTCAATTTACGGCTTGTTCTTGAGGCGAAATACATAGGCGTGATACTCAATCATAAACTTACAAGGACTCCTCACATTTTAAATGTCAGAAATAAGGTCATAAATATTCTTAAATGCCTCTATCCCCTCATAGGCAAATATTCAAAGTTGGATTTAGCAAAAAAGAAACTGATTTACTTAGCTAGTATCCGACCTATTATGATTCACGCTTCCCCGGTGTGGGCAGAAGCCACTAATTGGGACCTGCATAAACTACAAGTTGTGCAAAAAAGATTCTTGGCGTATCATCACAAACTCTCATTCTTTATGTACGGAATAACCTCCTCCACCAAGAGTTAACCACCAAGAGTGAACCCATAAAAGATTTTCTCTGCAAAATTAATAAAATATTTTTCACTAACGCACACGATTACGAGCGCTTAAGTTACTTTGATACATTTCACTACGAAGTTTTAAGTGAAGATAAATAAATATCTTAGGGCGTATGCTGCTTTTCTGTTAAGTACAAATCAGAATTTTCCCTCTTAAATTTCAATGCACTGTGCCAGTTTCGCATTCTAAAAATTTCTACTTAGGACTTAAAATTAAGCAGCAACTTGCTGAGCTCCGACCTGGGTGGTCAGAGGCGAGGAAGTCATGTCGACCTGGGAGCTCCGACATGAATGTAAATTTCACCATACAGATAACTGCTGAACTGTGTGCTCTGTAAACATATGTGTATATGAACTTTTCTACTATCATCATTCTACTCATGAATAGAGTAGAAGTTTTACTAACTGTATTTCTGCATAGTTATATTTATGTAGGACTGTCGAGTTACTCTTATTCCTAGCATCAGTGCGAGCAGATGACCACTCAAGTGACCCACGTGATCACTAATTTTGTAAACTCTACGATTGTAGTTTACTACTGGATTCTGTAGTGTATATATGCATATTTTGTGCTTTTTATTTCATGTTTCATTATTTCTACGAAGTGCTATTCCCTCAAGTATCACGTAACTACTTCATCTCAAAACTACTGTGACTTGTTCTGCTATTTGCACTGGACTTAGAATATTGAATTCTAATATTAATGCATTAAAACTTAATTTGTACTATGTAAAATTACTATTTATGATATTTTTAATCTCTCAAATGCATAAGTATGTCATTTACAGCATCAGACTTTGAAAAGCTATCCAGCCGATGTGATGTCATAGCCATATCTAAAAGTGACAAACTGGCCACGCCCCTTCGCCATCTTCTATCCTCTCCTCCTTGACTTACTGTGCTGCACTCATTTTAATTGAAGCGCCTTTCTATGGCCCTTGAAGTTCTGACAACCGAAACACTGCATGAAATTTTCATGCCAATCTCGGCATACAGCGGAAGTTGGATTTGGCTTGCTCTTGAAAGCTGTTTTATGGTAAGGACAGCTCGTCCATCCGGTTCAGGGGTTCTTCTGGTTCGACCTCTTCCTAGGATCAAGAGTAAAGGAGTAGAGTCTTGCCTTTCATGTGGCCGAAGAGCACATACATGATAGTCACCTATCGAACAAAAAGGATCATCAGTACCAGAGATTAATGCAAATCTTGCGCGCTGTTCTTTACGTTGACTAAACGGTCGGGACAACATATCCGCAACAAAGTTAACTTTGGAGCAGGCACGGGAAGCATGGCTTATTTTACACTATTTTACAACACCCATAGCATAAATGGTCCTCCTGTTCACAGTCTCTAGATTATATGGCCACGTTTTCCACATACGTAACACGTTTTCATGTGCTTTTTGCGATCTTGGGCCATGTGACCAGTTCTTCCACAACTATAATATTCATTGGAATTCATGAACTTTCTTACCACTTCTTTCTTTGATGGAGATATACGATGACTTCGAACTATGACAGGGGGCTTGCTACTTGTGTTAATATAATGTCGGACTTTGGGAATAGGTTTTTTCCCTGGTTGAAAGATACCTGAACTAAGCAGCTATTTCTCTTAACTTTCTCTCCACAGAAACTTGTTAAATTTCGACTTATATTCTGAACGCTCAGACGATTTGAAAGTGTAATCACTAAAGCTAAATTTCTGTTTAGGGTTGTCATGGAAATACCCTCTAGTGTTTGGAAATTCCAAAACAGCTCCAGCAGTACGAAAAAATTCAGTTACTAAAAAGGCTCTCTTATCTTTTGCTGTAGGTAACGCAAGTAAAGCTATTCGGAACGATCGTGCTTCAATTTGAATATCTACTTCTGTTGCCTTCTAGACATCATCGGCGAAGGTAACATTCATATTGGTTTTTGCCAAATTCTATTCCTCTTTCTTTCAGAAGCCGATGTAACATTTCTCCTGCTATAGTGCGACTGGCTCCAGTGCCAGCAGATACAAATCCGGTTAAGCCGTTTATTTTAACTCTCAAAAGAGTCATCTGATGTCCCTCGGCAGAGAATGTCTGAAGGATCTTTGAAATCAGTCTCTGCTTTCGAGAGGAGCGGAGTAGAAGAGGCATTTAACCTTAATGAAGCTTGACTTCCCACATCCATAGAGACTAAAAGGTGGTCGATCTTCTTCTTCTTCTTCTTTTTTTTTTTTTTTTTTTTTTTGCATTATCTGTTGATGAGACGTTTTTAGTATGTTGAGGATTACCTCTACAATTTTTGGGATCATCTCCTTGTTGAAATTTAAGGGTTTCCTTACTCACATTTTTATTTCGTACATGTCTAACTTCTTCATACAGATCTAATTTGTCCCAGCAAGCTGAAGTGGGCTGTTCCACTCCCTCCAGTTATCAAAAAAAAAAAAAAAAAAAAAATTCTTTATAATCTGGAGGGGCTTTCTTAATCTGATCTGCCAGTATCAAGTTCTTTAACTGCTCGAACGTCGTGACTTTTGATTCTTTAAGCCACCCATTGAAATAGTTTTGTAAGTCAAAATAAAAGTTTCTCCAGGTGTTTTCAGGAATTTTCTTATGAAAACAGAGTAAACAGTGGTCGAAATTTCTCAGCACTCAACTTGAAGCGCTTTAAGAGAATCTGTTTAATTTTCTGATAACCCTGAGCGTCATCAAAAGATTCTTTTGCAATTAGTTTAACAAAATCGGTTGGTAGAAGACCAATAAGATAGACTACCCATTTTGAAACTGGTACCTCCAGAAGGCTTAATTGCCTCTCAAGCAAGTCCAGAAATAAACTTATAAGGTATTTCTCTGCCTTCTTAACGAGTCTTCGTGGTGTGGTAGTCTGCACGCTGGGCCGGTATTCCAGAGGTCTGTGGTTCGGTTCCGGCGAAGGCACTGCATATTTTTCATCTTGTCTGCTTCCAAAAATACCTAATGTCTCTACAGTGGCGCCCGAACTAAAAGGGTGTTGGATGAGGATTCTCCACAATCAGGATTTGGCGATTGGGTTCCCTAAATACCCCAGTCGCCATTTAAAAGGGGGGAGTAAATAAGGTATTTCTTCCGCCTTCTTAACGAGCCTTCGTGGTGTGGTGGTCTGCAAGCTAGGCCGGTATTCCAGAGGTCCGTGGTTTGATTCCCGGCGAAGGCGTTGCATACTTTTCATCTTGCCTGTTTCCAAAAATACCTAATGTCTCTACAAACCCACATCGGCTGTTTCAGGATCGATCAAAATTAGGAATTCACTTATTCAATTCTATGTTAGGCATTTCTGCATCTACAGAAGACGATACCATTGCAGACTCCACTCTCCTAGCAGTAATACTGGATTGTAATCGTAATTTCTCCAGTTCAAACAACCGTTCATTTTCTTTCTCTCTTTATTATCTCAGGAATTCTAAAATTTTCCTCTATTCATATTTCCTCTATTCTATAAAAAATTCCTCTCTCACCTAGCATCTCTGCTAACTCAGTTAAATCCTATTTTTTTCCTTTTGTTAAATAAGCATGCTTAAGTAAAAGTTGGTAAATTTCCTCAAAATATAGACTTAAAACTTTTAGTATGCCATCATATATATATGTTTTAAAATATTTTTATATGGATTTAGTACAGATCAAATATACATATTCAAAACCAAAACATGAAATAAAGTAATAATTCATTTTACATAACTTTCTGTTGATTGCTTGAAATAGTATACTATAACATACACAGTGCTGTTCTCAGAAGATAAACTATTATAGAAAACTTTCAGTAATTTACGTTAATACAAAATATAGCAACTTTCAACTACATATTTCAATGCCTTTTCTTTTGTTCTGTTTTCAAAACTAACAGTAGTTTATTTTGTATTTATTATATTTGACATTTATTTCACTGCTTGATATAGAAACTTGCATAGAACAAAATAATTAACTTTATATCAAATATTCATTCAAATATTATTTTTAAAAAGTTGCCAAAGTAGTAGGTGCTACCACAAAATTCCTTATTTGAATTTC